ATATATACATATACATATACATATACATATACATATACATATACATACACACACACACATACACACATCACTTGCCTCCAAATAGTAGTAATAGAGCACAAGGCACTATTATCATTCACACATCACATGCCTCCAAATAGTAATAATAGAGCACAAGGCACTATTATTGCGAACTGCCAAATCGTGTCAAACCCTGAAACCCTACTAGGAGACGAATCTCGGAATCCTCTCGCTACGTAGAGAGTAGAGAGTTTTGGAGTGCTCAGCCGCTCACGGCGCAGATGTGTATAAAACTATAATCAAAATTTCAGATTTTTTGTTAACGGGGGAATCGATGAGCCAATGGGCGTCTCTCTCGAGGGTTTTGATTGTGCACCAAAAAGCCTATACTCTTGAACTCGCTACGTATAATCTTGCAGGTTGATGTATATCATGATGCCAGCCCGCCGGGTAGGAGAGAGAGAGCAGGAGTATAGTTTATATAATACACAACGCGCTGATATACACGTTTCCGCCATCAATTCGAAGTGTTCTGCCATAACCTTCAACACATACTTATTAAAACGTAAACAACCTCAATAGCCCCAACAAGACCTTACACTACCCCAAAGCCACACACCAGACATTCAACACCATGACGGACTCAGCTCAAACTCATAAGCCAGCGGGTCGAAGGATGACTCTAATGGGACAGGTAGCGATCACATCCACTTTCATTACTGAGTATATTCGGAGATCATGTAATCACGATAAATCTCTAATTTGCATGGCTTGCGTGTGTATCTGCTCCGTGTGTGTAAATATCAGGTGATGTGTTTTCATCCGTATTTTTAGCTGTGATACTCGAGTATTAAGGACGGTCTAGCATCGACTTTGGGAATATGTCATTTGTCTCTCTTTGTAGCTACGTCCCAAACTTGGAAGTTAATTCCTTGTCAATTTGAGCCCGTCTATCCAGATTTTCTCATGCACGCTCTAGATGCATTCCTATCTTATAGTTATACCCTGATTTGAGGCAACAGTTGCCATACGCACCTTCCTAGTATGATACGGTGACACGTGTATTAAAGTGCATTCGGCATATAGTAGACCTGCGGATTGTGTGCCGATTACACTCTACGATAAGAATTTATCTGTAGTCCTGGCAGCTTGTATATTGCACTGATACGTATTTGTGGCCCACCTGATACATTCAGTCTATGGTGATTGTTTTTTTTTTGCTTGGGCTGTAACGTCGTCCGAAAAGGTAACCCATTTCACCTTGGACCGTGTCCTTACATACGTACCTTACTTGTGAGATAGATCTACATGATCCCTCTCATGGGTCGAATAAAATATCACCGTGTATACCAAACGATGGTACACTACACACTGGCTCACAGTGAACTACTCACTTCACGTCACTCACTCAACCACTTAGTACTACACACTGGCTCACAATACACTACACACTTCACATCACTCACTCAACCACTTATTACTACACACTGGCTCACAATACACTACTCACTTCACTTCACTTAGTCAGCCACTTATTTCTACACACTGGCTCACAGTACACTACTCACTTCACATCACTCACTCAACCACATATTACTACATACTGGTGCCAGGCGACGCTGATGTCTCAGACGGACACCAATCCCTCATACCCTCTGGGGTTCATGGTTATGGAGAGGAATCTCGACTACGACGACTTCTGCAAGGCTTTAGTGGACCGTGTGCTTACTAAACCTGTATGTGCCCAAGAACAAGTCCCATTGTGTGTTGTATGGTCTACTGTAGGTAGTCATTAGGCACCGTGCTCGT